ATTTGGGGGAAAAATAGGCATTTTCTTATTTTGGTTTGGGAGGTAATAAGAACTAGGTTTTAACAAAAGAAAAAAGAAATGTGTAGCTCTTGGTTCTGTAAGAATGCACAGCTGCTGTGTTCTTCGCAGACCCCAGATGTTCACTTCTCGCGCACCTACCCTGCCCTGGCCCTCAGCCTGCCTTCCACTGTTTTGTTCTTGTATTTCTGTTATAGTTACATATCTGTCCAGATTCTTCCCCTAGGGAAGTAAACTCCTTGAGGATTAAATTCGTCCCTTGGACACCAAATGCTTAGTGTCCAGGACAATTGGAAAATGATGGATCTGTGGCCACATTTGCTAATACAAAGACAGGACTATTTATTGCAAACAAGTTTCTGGGAGCTCCATCTGCCTCTGTCAGGCTAGGTATGATCAGAGGGGCCTGGCCTCGGCTGGATGAGACCAGTTTTGGGGGGATGGGGTGGGCATGGCCCCAGGGACAACCTGGTCTTCACAGGGCCTTCCCTCCTCTCTTCCTCTGTCACCCTTCTTGGGTCTCACTCCTGCTGGGTTTACCACTTCAACAAAGGACTCGCCCAGCCAGCCCAGGAGAATCCCTTCCGGCTGTGCAATACAGCCTGGGAGGCCAGACAGGGAACCTGCTGGCATGGGGTGATGTCCAGAGCGCCCTCTGTGGAAGGGGGCTGGAGGTGACAGCATCTGGGCTCTTCCCCCTCCTGTCGCCAAGGGCCTTTTGACCCTTTCCTTTTGACCCTTTGTTCTCTGCTCTGGCTGTGAGGTGATCTGAGGGTTGGGTGGCTTAAAATGGCCAATTATGGGTTTGGGGTCTGGACTTTTTCTTTCTTTTGGTTTCCAAGTGGAGCAGCCTGAATGGAATGTTTCAACTTCAGGGATCCCAGGCCAGCTCGGGTCTGCTTGTCACGTAGCAGATATACCTGTACGGACACAGCCCAGGGTGGCCCAGTCCCAGGGTAGCCGAGGTTGTGCTCCAGCTGGGCCACTTGCTCTCTCTGTCCAGCTCCTGGAAATCTAAGTCTTCCCTTCATAAGAGCACCTACACCTCCCCTGACAAAGGCCCATAAAACCACCAAAATACAAATATGTCAGAAGCCCAACACCACATCCAGGCCCGGCCACAGGGGCACAGGGGCATGGCCCTTCCACAGTCTGGAGACACAGGACTGTGATGCCCTTCAGACCCCTTGTGCCAGGCTTTTTTGTTGGTAGGTATTCTCAACAAGGACTACAGGCTACAGCCCTGCTGGGTACAAGGTGGGAGAGGGGCTTCTTCAGGGAGAGGCTGCAGCCAGCTTGGAGGGTCAGGAGCCCCAGCTCTCCCAGGAGCTGCGAACTCTTCCCTAGGCCTTCCCCAGTGTCCCAACCACAGAGCATTAGAAGAAAGGGGTCAGCCTGGGCTCTAGCCACACTTTCCCTGGAAGCGGGAGTGGAGAGGGGAGGGTGCTGTGGGGTGCAGGAGGTGCCTACTCTGGTCCTTGGCCTGGTAGTTGTTGCAGGTCTCGCTGGGGATGCCGTGCTGGTGGGCATACTTCCACACTGACAGGTCGTCGCCCCCCTCGCAGGAGCCAGCATTGCCACAGTCGATGACATGCTGCACCGACAGCAGGGTGGAGGGCCACGCGCCCTTCCTCTTGATGTTGATCCGATCTGCAATGGTCAGCACCCCGGGTCAGCACCCCCCCACCCCAGTCAGCACCCACTCCCTCCCTTCCTCCTCCACCCACTTCCTGAATGGTCCTGCTTCTTGCCTGCACACAGGGCTCCAGCTGCCCACATCCCTCTCTGGGAGGCCTCTCCCACGATGACCTCTTCCTGGAGAGCTCAGCCTGGCTGCTGCTCCCCAGAGAGGCCTCCCTGGCGCTTCTCCAGCACATGTGTCTACCCACACCACCTGACCGCAAGCACCTCGAGGGCAGGGCCGGGGCTGTCCTGCACACACAGTCGAGCCCTGCAGACACCTGAGAAGTGCCCGCTGAAGGACTGAATGACCGAATACTCAACCACCTGTGCCAGCTGGGCTGGGCACCAAAGACAGAGCCAGTGTGAAGGGGGCCGAGAGGGACACCTCCTGTACAAGCGCAGCTCAGGGAGTCGAGTGAGCCCCAGGGAAGGTCCAGAGTCCAGGGGGTTGGGGACGGCCAGCAGGGACCCAGCCCTCGAGGGCACCAGAGGAAGCAGAGGGCTCTGAGCAGCTAGCCCATGATAGCTGGTGTCCGTGCTCCACTGCCCACATACCTGGACTCACACCTGCTGACAGCACCACTTGGGGGGCGACTGACCTGCTTCCCTTCCCATGCACACAGAGCATATGCAGAGTCCTAGGAGGGGACTCAGGCCCTCTCGGCCAATCCTGTCCCAGTTCAGGACCATCTCTCTCTACTGTCCCAGGACAGTGACCTCACAGCCACACCCACGCCACCTGCCTCCAAGTCAGAACTCTTCTTGCAACCCCACCTGTCCCTCTCTGGGTCATGATGAGCAGGGAGTCCCTCCACCTGCCCGTGAGCAGCCCCTGGAGCATGTGACCCTCTTGCTTCCCTTCGGTGGCTCCCACCCCTGCCACATCCTGTGTCACCTCCTAGACTCCCATCCACCCTGTCCTACATGTCTGCTCATCCAACTAGCCCTCCTCCCCCTTGTCCAGCCTGGTGCCTCTGGAATTCAGCCCCCTTCCCCACTCCCATCTGACGAGCCTGCTTCACACCTCACTGAAAAACCCCTCACCTTGCCACCAGCCTCCCAACCTCCCGCACCTGCAAACACACTTCCCATGACAGCAGACAGCGTGTCCCTGCCTGCCTAAGGCACCTGGGTCCCAGGCCCCATCCTGTTTTCTCCCAGTGACTTGGCTCCCTCCAGCCTCCTCCCTCATCAGCAACCCTCCCCCCAAGTGTGTGGGCATCTGCACAATTCTCAGACCTGCCTCTCTTAAGACACCTTTGACCCCACCCCACCCCATCACGCAGCTGTTCGCTTCACTGACCATAGAGAAAGAGGCCCTTGCCATCTCCACCCCTGTCCCCAGCCCACACCTACCGCACGGGCTGTCAATCCCTTCACTCTGCTCAAGTTGCTCTTGTCCAGGTTCACACCTCCATGCTTCCAACCCTAATGGTCACCTCTCCATCCTCATCTGGCCTGATCCTCCCCAGCAGCAGTCAGCAGAGTGGCCGCTCCATCCTTCTGGAAGCACCTCCCGCCTGGCCTTTAGGAGCACGTGTGTCTCTGGGTGCTTTGTCTCACAGCCCCATATCAGTTGTGAGGGGAGCCATGGCCCACCCAGAGCCCCTTCCCTTCCCTCACTGACTCCCCTCCCTGCAGGTGACGCAGGGACAGTTCAGCTCAGACCTCTCCCTTCGTGCCTCACCTGCAGAGGTGTGCATGCTTCTTCCCAGGCCAGACGGCACCCTCCACCCCCACCCTCCCATCTTCCCCAGCACCCACACACTTGCTCACATCCCCTGTGCACCCCTGCCGCACTGTGTGCCAGGAGTGCCCCATAGGCAAAGAGCCCACCCCCGCCCCTGACGCTGCGTCCCCGTGGCAGACACAAGAGGAAGAGCAAATCTGAGCGTGTGGAGTACAAAGCACTGGGAGGAAATGAAAAAGCCTGTACAAAGGGTGGCCATGGAGACTCGCTGAGGCGACATCCCCAGGACTGCAAGCAGCATGGGAGCAGCCAGAGCCAGACCGTACAGGCTCTGGAGGTCAAGAAGGATTCTTTTATCGAGCGAAAGCCAGAGAGGGTTTCCAGAGGAAGAACGGCGTGATGTGACTTGGGTTTTCTCGGGCTCATTCTAGCAGTTGGAGACGGGGCAGTAGGCAAGGGCAGGAGCCGGGACACCCATCAGGGAGCCCTGGTGGCAAGGCCTGTGGGGCAGCAGGAAGCGAACGGGCCAGCTCTGTACAGCTGCTGAAGGTGCAACCCCCAGTATTCGCCGAGGGGTTGTATGAGGGACAGAAACAGTGACAGAAAGCATGGCGGGAGGACTGGAGGGCCCGCAGGTGACAGTGGTGGCAGCCAGGATGGGCTGTCCAGACCTGAATGCCCCAGGCTGGAGGAATCAGGTACCCAAGCGAGGGAGGTCAGTCCTGGCGACCCCGGTGGTCAGAGGTCAGGAGACGAGGAAAAGTCAGCAAAGGCAGCGGCAGGCGCGGCCAGGGAGATGGAGGTGGCTGAGCATGGTACAGGTGAGGTGCACGGTGCTGCGGGGACAGTGAGCAAGCAGGGCCGAAGAGTGTGAGCCTGGCACTGACCGTGGCCCCTGCCAATGACCATGGCCCCTGCCACACGGTGGTCCCGGGGATTATGGCAAGAAGTGGCAGAGGTGGAAGCGAGGCCGAGGGGCTTCAAGGACGGAGAATAGGAAGTCGAACAACCCCAGGAACCTCCCACGGGAGCCAAGAAGTGGTGGTGGCAGGAAGCGGGGTGGGACCAAGGGGCTTCTTCCTCATTTGTTCAAGGCGGAAGAGCGTCTCTGAATGGGTGGACAGTCTCCTGTGCACAGGGAGGGTGGTCTTGGTGAGGGGCTTGGACATTTGACCCCTTGGGGACAGGAGGGAAGGCAGACTGTGGCCCGACTGCACCAGCTGTCAGATGGGCCAGGCCCCTGTGGAATTCCCCTTCTAGCAGCTTCTATTTTCTCAGTGAAAGAGGAAGCAAGTGCTTTGATTAGATGTTAGAGCCTTAGTTGGATGTTAGAGAGGCTTAAGGAGAGAGGAGTGAAGCGGTCATCTACAGGAGAGAATCCACTCCAGAAACGTGGTGGGGCTGACCCTTGGGCGGTGTCCCTCTGAAGGTGGACCAGCCCACCTCTAGCCTGTAGCCATTTCCACCCTCCCTCCACCCTTTACAAATGCAGATCTCATCACTGATCCCCCACAGGCCCCCGCTGACCTTTCTAGTTCTCCCTGCTCCCTACTCGCCCCACTCTTAAACTTGGCCACAAAGTTTCTCTCACTTCCTCAGTGCCATCCCTGCACCCTCTGCCTGGACTTTGCCCAGATCCTCTGCCTCTGGGCCCACATCCTGCCTGCCTCGCCCGAAGCCTTGCAGACCTGCTGCTTAGGTCCTGGCTCCATGTCCTCCCAGTCCAGAATATCTGCCTCCTTCACCTCCACCCTGGACAACAGCCACTTCCTCCTCCTTCCTGAACAGTCAGAAGTATGCTCTGGATCCCAGGGGTCTCCTCACCAGTCCCCAGAGAGAGACGCCACCAGCAGGAACCCTACATCCTAAAGACAGAGCACAGCAAAGCTTCTGGCCTGGGCTTCTGGGCTTGAATCCCAGTTGTCACTCACATCATGGCCAAGTCTCCTGACCTCCCTGCAAAGACTCTCCATTTCCTCATCTGCAAATTGAGAGCAATCACAGCAGCTGGAACTTAGATGAGATGATATACACACGAGTAGGTGTCACCAAGCCTTGGCAAGCAGCAGCAGCCTCTCAGTTGTCAATCCTTTTAACACAGGCTACACCTATGACAAGCCTGACCAATGAGATGCAAAGCCAGGGGAGAAGGCAATAACTGCCAGCCCTCCCTGGGCCAAACTCCAGTGGAATTCCAGGCACCTGTACCATGGGGCTGCCACTGGAGAGGTTAGGGCCCCTCCTAAATGCTACAGGGTACGCCTGGGGATGATTTGCAGCCTGCCCTGCTTATACCTTCTCTCCCAAGGCAGATGCAGCAGCCAGGTGTGGCCAGAGGCCAAGGTTCAGGTGAGAAAACAGGCCAGGCTGGGAGCAGTGACCAGGTTAGGCCTTGGGCTGCAGCCAGCCAGCCTTCCTCAAAATTCTGAGCCCAAGACAGGCATTCATCTTAAATATTAACTGCTGCTGAGAGCAGTTTCACTTCTGTGTCCCCAAAGACAGGCTGGTGGCTTGGTAACTTTGCATTTCTGGTTCTTTCCCAGTGGCTGGGGTCACAAGCTTTGGGGGAGACAGGTCACCTGGAAGCCTCTTGTCACTGAGCTTCAGTACTAGTCCTGTCACCCAAAGGCCCACAGTGGAAACCACCAGAATGACCCAGCTTGTGTCACCTGGGCAGAAGGCAAAGGCCAGCTCCTCTAGGCCAGAGAAGCCCAGGCACCTCCCAGCCCCGGCTAAACTTTGGCATGAATCACAAACCTGGAACCCCGGACTGTGGCTGCCTGTGCTGACTGGGAGGCAGGCTGGATAGATTTCCCTGGCCCAATCAAGTGGCAGCCACTTGCCTGTCATGGCACAGGTGCTGTGCAGGGCCAATCATGGAGAGCTAGGCTCAGGCCACCTACCTGCCATGGCGCTGGTGCTGCCGTGGGCCCAGCAGGAGCCGCAGTACTGGGGTATGTGCTGGTTCCTAGTGATACTGGCATAGTTGACACCACCCACGTTACGCCAGTCCCAGCTCTTGGGCAGATCCGATGGGGTCAGGAACTCATGAGGCCGAGGGTATGTCCTGGGAAGAGACCACAACCACCAAAATCAGCACTGGGGCTCCTGGTGCAATGGGGCATAGGCAGCCCCCCTCAGCACCCTACTCCCTGCCCCCAAATGCAAGGCACGGGGGTGAGCACCTCAACCATCAGGTGACCCTGGAGGCCGGGCACACCCAAAATGAGGGAACCAATGCTCCCCAAGCACTGCCGGGCACGGGGGGCAAGCTCGAAAGGCCTGGGAAGATGGGCCACCCCCAGGGGCTGCCTCCCGCGCCCGCCGGCGCCCACCTGCCCCCGGGCTGCGACAGCCGGGCCCCCCGCCCGGGCCGGGAGGCGGACCGGCCGGGG